TGTAATCGGGTTCCCACGTTTAAATCTGAGAGAACTCAGTTCCTTTACTAAACTCTGGAAGCTCAGATTTGTTTTTCCTGAGTGTGATCTGAAGTGTTTGTCAGGATGAAAATGAGTCTTTCCAGCGTCCCTCTTTAGTTTTTTCTTTCTAACACTTGTTTTCAGCCGCAGGAAGTGCTGCGCTAAATGGCGCTTGTGCATGGTGTAAAACGCGCTGCAGAAGTGCCTTAAACCTGCGTTCTTCCTAATGGCCAGCAGGGGGCGACTCCTAGCTGCAGGAAGGGTTAGTTGTAGAGAAGCGCGTCGCTCTGCGAACATTTTCCTGTTTGTGGTCTCAGCTTCTCGTCTGAATAAAACATGAAGGAGATTCGTAGTTTATGGTTGTCATGGTGATCTGAGGCTCAGCGGGATGTGCTGTTTTCAGTCAGATCGTTCCCGCCTAAAAGCACGAGTGAAAAACGGGACTTCACTAACCAAACGGCGTCTGCAGCAGCAACATCCATCTTTTAAATGCAGTGTGCTCGTCGTCTCCTTGTGGCCAAAATGAGAATTACAAAAACATCAGATGGAGGATTCGGAGCTGGGATCTTCAGGAAGTGGCTGAAGGGAGTTTCTGGGCTTTGTTTGGACTCCTGTGGAGGAAACGCAGATAAATGACCCCAGTTCCTCAGAAGGCTTTTGGTCCTGCGGTGGGAACAAGACCGAAAATATGCACGAGGATTTTCAGAGTAAAAGCTCCCGATTTATCTTGTACCGCTCCATCCTGTGTCGGCCGCAGACAGGAAGCGGAGTCGTATGTTTGTAGCTTCAAAACCATTAAAAACGTTGAAGCGTCGACGATCAGCGGTGCCTGATGCTCACGGCTCTCCTGAAGTGTGATTGGTCGCAAGCCTGCAGGCCTTCAGTCTGAGGGGCCCGCTGGTGGTTTTGGTAACGCGCTCGGTAAAAAAATAAACTGAAGGTTTCACCTTGAAAATAAGCAGACGCCGCTTTAGCCGCTGTTTCACACGCGAGAGGCGCCTGTTTAACACGGAAGCAGATTTTACTGTGTGTGTGAAATCAGCAGATTAATCATCCTGATGTTCTCAGTAGTTGATGAATAATTTCAGTTTCTCATTTTGTTGTAAAGAAAAAGGAAAAATCGCAGCAGGTTGACGTCTGTGATCACACCTGTGGCTGAGCAGACGTGTCATCCATCAGCCTGGTTCTGATTGGAGATTGGCAGCCCCTCCCCCACCTATTTAGTGCCGTGTGACTGCAAAGAAGCTTTTTAGGATCTCTGAGGGTCGACGAAGCAGCCCAAGTTTCCTGGGATCGGCGCCGGGCGTCCTCGCCGGGCGTCCTCGCCGGGCGTCCT